TTCTCAGTAAGGTCCCAACAATGTGCTCATTGCTGACTTAGAGTGAAGTGGTTGGTGACAAGGGCTCGTTTTGGCATCGTCTAAAGGTCTTTCTCTTTTCTTGGCCTCTCCCTTTGCGACGAACTGATTTGGCTTGTTACCTGAGAGCTTTGTGTCGAGCCCGCTGTCGAAGGCGTAATGAACTTGTCGTATTCGTCGTGGGATTAAAGCTCATTCGGATAAGACACACCATACGCTCTTGATAGTTTCGACTTGGTCAGTTGAACACCATCCACGTTCTACGGCGGTCTTCTTAGCTTCGCTCCAACAGCACAAGCTTTCTCAGACCGGGAACTTCTCTCTCAGGAAACGAAATCTCCAAGCATCTACCAAACATGATCATCTTTAACGTCCGGATCGACAACCGCGTCTTCCTGCTTCTTGAGCTCTTGTACTTCCTTTTCTTTTGCATGCACCCATTCGTCCGTGTAGTATTTGTGGGACTTTTTTGCTAGCATACTTTCCTCTTCTTTTTTCTTTCAAAAGTATTCAGCTTTTGATCTTTCAATGTTTGGACGGTATGGGCTTTCCGTAAAATCCAGTAGATGGGTGTCCTCTTCCTGCAGTATTACAATCGAGATCCACTTAGCCTTCATCCGTTCCAGAAAGCGCACGCGGTCGGCTTCCAACTGTTTCTCCCATTCCTGTTTTCGTCGCCTCACCCCAGCACCAATTAACTCCAACTGCCTTTGCTTTAAGCCGTGTCGGGGTTGCTGGTTGCAGGTTCTCCACCCAACTATCCGACTAGCAAGAGTTTAGGGTTCTCTTCTGCTCTTTTGCCCTCGTGAAGACTTTGTTCATCCTCGCTTTCTCCACGTGCCTCTTGAACTGTGTCATCTTCTCTGTTGTTCTCGCTTTCACTGTCATCCATAGTCAAGGTTCGTATTTTTTGCTTGTCCGTTTCATCCAAGAGATCCTCCTCGGAAACAGGTCCTGGAACTGGCGGGGGTAGATCGTCATCGGGGGTCTTGGCCACATGGCTGCCCAAACGATGCAATCCATTGCGTGATCTTTCAGAAATTTTTGTATCGCTGGGACGACTATTAA